TAGTAAAATAATTATAATTTCTCCGAATAATTATGAGTAGAAACTAAACCATAACCAGTGTTTCTTACCATCACTTATCATGTCAATGAGGTTATCGTCACTTTCGATACGGCTAATATCACTAATGAGGAATTCAAAACCTGTTTTTCCTTCATTTTTGATCCACACCCACTTGCTAAACAAGTACATGGATTATAACATTTTTTGGAACCATTAATTAATGCATAGTGAACAATTAATAAATAGAAAATATAATGACAGTGTTAACTTTCTCTGTTGTAATGTAAAGTGTGCCTGTTTCTGTATTGTCATGTACAGAATCGTTTGATTTAGTTTCGTCCACATAACAAGCTTTGATATTAAGGTAAATATTATCTTCAGTGACATCGGTCGGGATTTTTACGGAGTCAGAATTAGCCGTTGTTGAAACTGTAAATTTAAAAAAGTATTCGATGATATAGTTTATAATTATAAATAAATTATTTTAAAATCAGTTACTTTTCACTTGGAATTATGGATAGTAAAGTACTATTCCCTTTGTCAAGAGTTACCATTTTATACTAGCGGCCCAGGTTCGGTTCCCGTGCGCGCCGATTTTTTTTTTTTTATGAAAATAATTCTTTATAATTGTATATAATTATATATGGCCATTTTTCGTATATAATTATGTATGAGTATATATAATTATATATAATCATTTTTACCTGGGCAATTTTAAAATTTGACCAGATCTGGTCAGATCTGATTATATCTGGCCAGATCTCGTCAGATAGAGACAATTTAAAGATCTGGCCAGATCTGCTAAGGCTGGTAGTCTAGAAAAGTATTTGATTCAAAACAACGAACATTGAAGCTTATCTAACATGGCAATGGATCATCAAAATACTGAAGATGGACAGTAATCGCTTGCCCTTGATATGCCTCAGACGCCTCCAGTCACTCAGAATTACTAGAGCAAATAAAAAGCATAACTGGCTAGAGTCGGTGTTCAAAATAATACATAAAGTCACCCCTGAACTCATCCCAGCTCTGGAAACTCTTGATGTGGACCGGTGGAAAGCTTTTAAAGCTTACTTCCTTGAAAGGTACAAAAATCATCTTCTTATGCAAGATTTAAATAAAGTTTCTAACGCCAAATACCTGCAAGTGACATTACAAAGACCATTAGAAGGGTCCAAGGCTCCGTATCTAAGCAAGAGGATCCATTTTCAAGCTCTAAAAACGTTCATGCAAGCACGTCTAGCCAACAATTACTATCATCATTTCACTGTGGATCAATCCTGCTTCAAATTCAACCCCTCTCAGCCCTGCCCAATATGTAACTCTGGGGAACTGGACACCTTGGAGCATTTCATTATCGCCTGCCCTATTTTAAATCCATATCAATCGTACTACCTGAAGAGGTGTAACTCAACTTGCCAGGAAGTTTCTGAAATTTTAGATTGCTGCGATTCTCAAACTATTAAATCCTTCTTTCTTTTTACCAAATATTGCTGCCGCCTTAGAGCGTTCTGTTTAAATGAATAACTATATATTGTATATAAATATTTTTATATCTGTCCATGTAAACTACTTAGTTTATCTTTAAATTTTTTAAATTTATTTTTTATCGACGTTAAAGTATAAATAATTAATTGTTATCTTTTTATATTATATTTTATTTTCTTTTATCTATTGGATGCTTATCTCTAACCAATTGTATGGATACTGTATGTATTCTTGAATCAATAAATATTTTACTTACTACATTGAAGCTGAAGCTTTTCAGTAATTAATATCTAAATACACCTAAATATGTATTGAGAATTGAAAATTTCAGATAACAAAAAATAAAGATAACATTAACTTAAATTAAGATAATAAAAAAATGTAGGACTCGATAGAAAACAAATTTGTAACTTTAATTTATATATCGATACTACCATTTTAATACAACAATATTATTCAAGTGATATTAAAAATTTAAAGGTCAAATAGCTTAATTACTATTTTTAAATTAATATATTCATCCTTCAAATTCCATTTAATCAAAGTTAAAACTGAACTGTTTTTTATCTTCTGCTGTAAAATTTTTCACTGATAGAAGGATTTTTGTTTATATTTAATAAGCTTTATTAATTGTTAATAAATAATTTTTCAACAATTAATAAATTATTTGTTAATTACGATTTATTAAATGTTAATAAATATTTGTTAACAGTTAATAAATATTTATTAACTGCTTATAAATAATTTATTAAGTACAATTTATTAATTGTTCGTAAATATTTATTAATGGTTAATGAATATTTGTTAACCTTTAACGAATATTTATTTAAAATAAAAAGCAAAAATAGCAATTTTCTTTTGACACTCTTTATAACCCTATAGCTGAAATACATGATAATAATTCAATTTACTAAATAAATGAACGTTTTTAATATTTAAAAAAAACATTTACTAAAATTTAATAAATTGAATAATTGTTTTCAAATAAATTAAATTATTAATGATTAATAAATCCTTCTATGAGTGTTTTTTTTTCTTTCTCGTTTAAATAAATATATAACAGTAAATTTGATGATTTTGTTGAAGATTTTCAAACTTAGAAAAAAAAGAGCATTCGATATCCAAAATAGAAGTTAATTTCTTAAATCGAAATTTTTTGAATTTTCAGGCAGTCAACTTTAAATAATGATTGAAGGCATAAAAATCATTGAAAAATGAAAATTAAAAATAATAACCTGGCGCTTATATAATCGCCATTTACGTCAAATTAATAGTAATGAGCGAATGCTAAATTTATTTTGACGACTGTGAGTAAAAATTGCCAAACCTGATTGATTTAAATACCAATTTAGTATGTTGTACGCACCACACATGCATTCACCTCTATAAGTTTTTGAACGAATGCTATTTTTCGAACTTGCTTGACTTTTAAAAACATGATATAACAAAATTTTTAGTAACTTTCGCCATGAGATCAAATATAATAGTTGAATCTCTAATAAAGAAAGAACTTTAAGTGAACTTATCCGCTTTATGAATACCAATGGCTTCATGAGCTTAACTCAGAATGAAGTACATAAGATGCACTTCTTTGAAATGTGAAAAAGCTTCAAAATTTGAATATCAATAAGTTTGAGTATATAGTAGTATATTTGGTACTTTCATTTTTGAATACTTTTTTAAAAATTTAGAAGACCAAAAAAATGACATCAAAATATTTTTTTTAAATAGTTTACAATTTTTGTCAACATAAAAGTATCAAATAATAACAAGATTTTCATTCATTTTTAACAGGTGAAGAGATGGAATAAATTGATTCTTTTGAAGTAAATGAATATATTTTTTGTCGTGATTAAAATGTTTTTAAATTTTTTAAAAATTATATTTTTAATTCTAGTAAAAGTTGATTACTTAACAATATCCATATAATGAAATTCTGGTCACACTTTGATTACTATCTTCGATTTTGGTACCTAAGCACCGCATCTCCATAAAAAATCTTGCCACTTAACTCCAGCTCTGGAATTTCTCAAATACAAAAACAAAATACCGACATTGAAACTCTATTTATTATGTATGGGCCGTTTAAATTCAATTGTCGTAAAATTGATCAGTACATTTTTGTTTGGCGGAGATTTCCGAAAGTTGGATATCTTGGGCACGAGTCATGGTAGGTGTTGCGCGTGCTGTTCCTCGAATTTAAGGGCCCAAAGCTTGCGTACGGAATGACAATTTCGCCGGGAATTTTTAACATGCCGTCACGTAGCCCCGCGTGCCGGAGGTTTACTTTTCTGCGTAGTTATAACAGAATTGGTGTATGTATATTACACACAGATATTTTTCTGTCATACCCATACTCTTCCTTCATTCCCACTCGCTCTGGAGATGCTTTATGAGTCGACCTCGCTGTACTGGTACCAAGATGCATAGCAATGTCGGAGAAAGATTATAAGTTAGAAAATAAATTTATTATAAAATGGTTTTTTTTTCCTTACAGCTACGTTATATAATTTATTACGAAGACGCGCAAAAATTTTATTTAGAAATAATGTTGTGTCATAGCTTAGCATAGACATAACTAGCGATGGGATACATTATACTACATGCCACTTTGTTATTACTATTATATTTTTTTTATTTGATTTTTTTATTTAATTTTTATTAGAATATTGATTTTTTTATTTTGATATTTTTAAACTAATTTTTTACATTATTGACAACTAAATTTGATTATTTTTTAACTTTTTTAATTATCCATTCATAAAAATTAGTACTTTCACTAAACATTTTTTTTTCACAGATAAAAAAATTAATTTGATTAAAAAAAAAATTGTTTTGAAAATCTTGATTTTTTTTATTAATCAGAATTCTTTTTAATAAAATTAAATTTCTTTAAACTAAAAACTATTTTTGATTCAAAAATTTTTCTGCTTCATTCAAAATAATCATATTTTTTTAACTAATTTTTTTCTTATTTAAATCAAGTAAAATTTTCTATAAATATTGTCATCACTAAAATAAATTTATTAATTTTTAGTTTTTATCATCCGTCTATTCGAACTAATTACACAAAGAATTAATGATTTTTTTGTATCAATTGTGATTTCAAAAAATTTTGAAAGACTATACTTGAAAATGGCGTTTATTGAGTTAGAAAAAAAAACATGCTAAATTATTGAAAATATGCAATGGGTTGAAAATTTTTATTGACTTAAAAAGAAATTATTAAAAGTTTTATTTCAATTTAATAACTTGTAAAAAAATGATTATAATTAAAAGTCACATAAAATTTTAAATGAAACATTTTTATAACTACACATATTTCATTTATTTAATTATTATTTCGGTTAGATGAATTATCCATGGTTTTATGATAATTGTTAGTAAATTAATAAAAATTTATATACTATCAATTATTTTTGTTTAGAAAATCAAAAAGAAAAAAGAGAGAAGTATTATCTAAAGACCATTTATGGATATAATTTTCTTCATGACTTCACTAAGTGAACCCCATGGATTGGATCTCATCGGGAGTCCTTTTAGCAACTCGAAGCATGCAAGCAGAGTTGTCAGACAGCGTGGGAGCGATTCTGTCGCGCGCAGGTCAGTAACGAGAAGTTAAGTTTGATTTGCTAAAAACGCCCGCCGCTTTATCTCTAAATACAAATCACGTACTTTAATGGAAAAAGAAAAAGGGAAAAAAGTTACAAAAAATAAATAACTCCGACAATATAACAACGGGAACGACAAAAAGATAAATGAATAAAGAACAGTCGCGGAGTTTCTCCGCAAAAGCCGGAGAGGATACAAGTTAAAAAAGGGACAGAAGACAAAACACAAAGATAAAACGTTAAGTTTTTTAAATAAAAACCCTACGAAATAAACAAATGAAAAAGAATATGTATATGTATAAATATAAAAATAAGATAAAAAATAATAATGGGACTCACAAGCTAGGGAGGGCCGGAGCCGGAACGCATGTCCTCCGGTTGTTCGACCATTTGCTCGCATCCCGTGTGGTCCATCGATGTCCCATTGTTTTGACCCACACGGACCACAGACCCAGTAAAACGCCGGTAAAGGAGTAAGCGTATTCAAATTCGTTTTCGATTCGAATTGCCCGGAGAGGGAATCTTGGATCGCGACACGCTGTATAATAATATACCCAAACTTTATATTATAACTAAAAAGACCGATGCGATAATCTGAAATGCAAGAGGAGCTTCAGCTTAAATGTCCGCGTGCATGGAAAAAAATTATACGGCTATTTTATGTTAGATTTACAAAATACAAGTGAAAAATTTACGGTTATAAATGTGAAAAAGTTACTCAGTTGGATAATATCACACTTACAAAGAAAAACTGTTAAATTATTTATTATTTCGACGTTCTAATTAGCAAATTGTCTAACTCCATTTTAGAGAGTCTTATATTTGTACCAAAAAAACAATTAGTTCAAAATTTACTTTAAATCACTTTAAAAACCATATAATATCATCAATATCTAATAGAGGTATAATATTTTGGTTTGAATCATTCAAATAATTTACAATTGGACCATTGCTACATCATAATTTTAATAAATCACCCTCGAAAAAAATAAGGAGTCAGACAAATTGCTAATTAGACCGTCGATTTAATTTCAATGCCAAGGCAGTATAGCCAAATGGCAAAAGTATATAAAAAAATTATAATAAAGTACACGTATGAATAATGAAGATATAAAATTTCAAAAATTTTAGATATTAAGAAAAAAATCATTTTAATAAAAATTAAAGAAGTAAACTTAGTGGTGTAAAATATGAAAAGATGATAAATTAATAGGAATGGATCTGTAAAAATAACATGTCTGGAAAAAGAAGTTTTATATAATTATAGATCAATTTTTACATGAAGTTACATAAGAATTTTGATAATATACAATTTTATATACTTTTACATGATGCATTTTTTCTTCATGCAAAATTTACATTTTTTTGAAAATAAAAATTAACGACTTCATAGAAATTAAACTATTATTCTAAAAAATTTTTCTGTAATTATGACAGGGCTTTTTTCCGTGCGATAACGCCTTCTAATTTTATTGTAAATTTAAATTTTATTCAATCCAACAAAAATTGTCATATTTTTCTTCCTCAGTAATTTTAATTTCAATTTTTAATTACTGTCATTGTGACATTGTTTATTAAGACAAAAGATGTGAGCTAGCATTTAGCCGATCGCATGTAACACGAGTTAGTCATGTTACACGTAAAAAAAGATAACTTTTTTTTCCTCGACATAGCATAACACTACACGGATAGATCTTGTTGAAAAATATAATTCGCGTGACGGTAAAAATTCCAGCCATCACCCAGCCCGGAAGCATTTACTGCCAGAGAGTTTATGAAAATTATTATTACTTTATATATGCATGCTGCAGCGGCATCATTAGCCACTCGACAAATTAGACTGAGAAATACCATCAACAGAAATATATGTTGGTAACGATTCAAAGGTGTAATTACTGTACCGGGAGCTATTTCTGGAGAAACCAAAACCCATTGTTCTCGGATTGATTTTGTAATTTATTATTTACATATTTATGATTATGAATTATTATTATCTTCATTAGTATTTGAGACAACAGAATTGTGCTTGAAGTTTATTTTCATTTTTTCGTAATTACATTTCGTATTTGCTGTAACAATTAAATTACTCTTGATGACTTAATAGCTTCGCAAAAAAACAAATACAAGTTTATATATACATATATAAGGAAATAAAAGAACGTGCATGCTCTTTATTTTAAAATAAGATTGCTCGGATGGTTTTAACGCTGGTAGATGGGAGAGTAAATGCAAAGTAAGAAATCGTTGCTGTTGTTACAGATAAAGTGTAAAGAGGAAACGGACAATTGAGGGCAAGAGAGCACACGGAATTGGTCATGCGACGATTGGAGGGCGAGTCGTGCGACCGAATCAAACGATAAGACTCTGCAATAAATTAATTAATTAACTGAATCGAAAATAAATACTCGGTATAAAATCAAGGTATTTATATATCTATATATACATGGAGCATCTAAGTATAATGGATAATGGGTTTATTTATTCACCCGGGTCTTATCGATGGCCATCACCCCTTCGTGCACCGATTAACGTTACCGGGAACAAGTACCAGATGATATTGTCATCGCGGAAATGTCGGTACAAAAGAATATTACGTATTTTATTTTTAAATTAAATATACGGTACGATATGATGTAGAAAAACAATTGTTTTGTACTACTGTTGAGTTTATATTGGTGCGGGTGGATTTTAAAAAGTAACAAATGAATAAGCTGGGAGGGAGGAAAGGGGAGGATGTATGCCATTAAAAATCGAAATATTATATCGTGCTTGGACAGAGCTCGCGTGAGACATTTGTTCAATCGATAACACCGAGAGTACACGGATGAATTTCATGAGAAAGACTGGACATGTATTCGTGACGAGTGTAACGAGAGGCCGAGCATTGTAAATTATTTTTTATGGAGCTCGTTGAAATTCCACTTATTTATTTTTCCACAAGCTAGTTCTTACTGCTAAACTAATAAATATTTTACTTTTAAGTATCCATCAGTTGTGTAGTTGGAGAACAATAAATTTATATTTACTGTCATTAAATATTTGTCGTTAAATTTTAATTCAGGGCCATATGTTATATGCGTCGCATGCTTTGTTTAAAAGAGGAGGATATGAATATTCAAGATTTCTTAATCATCATTATCATTATCATTAAGGTACGAGTGAATATAATTAAGGCGGTTATTAAGGTTGTGGTAAGAAAGATTATTTATTGTCTTTGGCTTATCGTAGATATTTATTATCTTTTTAAAAACAAGCGGTGGAAAATGTATGGTAATATGGTGCATGTGGAAGTATAAAAGTATAAGTCTTATCATTATCATTTTATCACTTTCATCAATCCCTGTATTTATATTATAATGTCCGGTGGAATAAAAATACGTCACATGTGATGCGGCTGGTAATAAAATAATTACATGGGCAAAAAAACGGAATTAAAGAAGGAAAGTAAATATTATATTTTAAATGAGAAATGGAAGTTTAACAGATACTTTTTAGTTAAAATTTTTTTTTGTAAAGTAGAATATTTATTTATGCATTGAGCTTTCAAGTATAAATTTTTTTTAATATTGAGAGTAATTTTAACGCGATAGATATCGGCTTGGAAGTATGTGACTGTAAAATTAGCTAGTTCGCAAAAATATAAATTGATCTTGTAAATTAATTGATCCAGATAAATGAAATTTCTGAAACAAACTAGTTCAGTTGCTTTTTCTAAAATGTTTTATCAACCAAATAATTAATTAATGTTAATTTGAACGAGAAGGAAAAAAATAATATAAGTTAATGTGACAAACTTGTTGTCTATCAAGTTTTATATTTATTTTTGTTATCCTAATGTAGGACATCATATCACTTATATTATTACTTCATCAATTGAAATTTTAAATTCCAAATACATATTTATATGTATTTAAACATTAGTGACTGATAAGCTTCAATGCTCGTTACTTTGAATCAAATATATTTCTATACTACTTATCTAAATAGATAATTAATTTTGTTGACGACCACTAGTATAAAATGGTAACTCAAGACAAATGGAATAGTTCTTTACTATCAGTTGTTCCAAGTGACAAGTAACCGAATTAATCATAGAACAAATTGATTTTTCGAAATTTTCGTTTATACCTTACATATCTAAAATCGTTAGTCGTTTTATTATTTTAAAACTACACAAAATAAATTAATTACCGATTCTTTTGTTTTAAAATTATTTATCATAGACTATACGACGGAATTTATATTTTATTAAATTTACAGTTTCTACAATGAATGAGTTTGATCCCGCAGAAGTACCAACCGATATTACTCCAGACAATATCTACGAAAATGTCGAAGCTCAGTTACTTTGCTTTATTTATGAACGTGAGTACGCCGTTTGGCTAGATGAATTTCCAGGGAAAGGCACACTCTATATTACTACAAAGTAAGTTAACACTTACATTATCTTTTCTATTTATTCGTTGCTTATTAAAAGTTAACTGATCGTTTCTAAAAATTTAATATTCAACATTTATTTAGGATGTTGGTGTGGATCAAAGAAGACAAAACAGGCGGTTTTCAATTTCAAATTAGTGATATGGGCTATGTAAGGAGTAACATCGCGAAAGAAATTTTCATCAAGAGAATTAAAAGTAAGAAACAGAGATCATTGTTTAGTTCCTATTTATAATTGATCAAAAAAATTCTGATGATTTCATTATTTTATAGACATCGAATATGCAGTAATGTTTTTATTTGAAAATGACAAAATCTGCGACTCCGTTCGCAAAAAAATTGAAAATGCTGGCATAAATGTAGACCGTAAGTAGAGACCTTATAAACTACTACTATATATAAATAAAAATAATAATCGTTTATTTAATGGATTGTTTGTTTGAAGGAACCTGAAGAAAATTAGTATTGAGAATAGTGGTTCCGAAGACGGTAAGTACTCTGGAATGTGGTTAATCATCTTTATGTGACTAACATTCCGATTTTATAATTAATTAACACAAAGAATGCTTTTTCTTGGTGAGTATTCATATGCAGCAATAGTATATTGTATGGCTAGGAATGAATCAAGATGATTTCAGACGGAAAGTGGAGCAACCACTAGAAATCTGAAATCGTGTTTCATCCCGTGTCACACCATGTTTTTCATATCATTTGCTTTAAAAGTGCGAGTTTTAATGTCTGGGGTCAATCAAAATTAGAGAATTTCAGACTAAGTTTGAAATAAACAAAGATACTTTGACAGGATCGAAAAAAAGGCTGCAACTCCATTCAGAGGATAGAAAACTATCAGTTTTGGCCCACAGGGAGAAACAGTCGCATTCGTTTGAAATTGGCTAGTTTTAAGTGGCTCAACCGGTATTGAAACTCGCAGTTTTAATGCAGGTTATATGAAAAAATTATTGTTGACTTTATCATAACAATCTACTAAAAAGACTCTTATTATAATATTTCTATTTTTTTCTGTTTCAATCATAATGATTACATTACTTGAAAATATTAACGGCTACGACTACTCATGTTAAACAATAAAAATGGATCTGAATCTTATTGATGGTGAGGATAAATAAATTTACATAAATATTATTTTGCTAAGTATATCACAATCATATAACATTAATGATGACTTATTTGACTAACTATCTTTTTAGATGAAGAAGTAGAAGGAGGACTATTAGCATAAGAAGATTCATAATTAATAGGAAGAAATATTTAAATATTGATCCGTTTATTGTTTAAGACAAACTAGTTATGTGCTAAATAAAATTTGTGAAATTAATAAAAAAAAAAAAAACGGTCATTATTTATTTTTTCCGAAAGTTATTTTATAAATTTTAAGGTCACTAACTAATAGAATCAGAGTTTAAGCTGGTCAAAATTATAATGACATCGATTAACAATAACGAGTCATAGTTTTTATAATCCTAATAAATTCCATATCATTATTTTGATTCCTATTATCAATTAAGCCTTGTTTTGATATTTTGTAAACATTTTAATTACTAATCATTAAGAACATAACATATAATTAAAATAACAAATCAATGAGTATACATATAAAATAAATTTTCAATTTAGGCTGAATCAATATCTATAGATATTTATATAATTTAGTTTTTCGAGCATTGAGTAACTTTAAATTAATGTTCTTAATTCTAATTTATTTGATATACCGGTTAGTAGAATGTTCACATAAAACTTGCTTAATCATAAATAAATTACTTATTTTACGTAATTAAATCACTAAAAAATATTATGTATCTCAATGAAATATAGATGAAAATTTATTTTTATTTAAAAATAATAAATATCATTGAAAATGATTTAAATCAAATGATTGCATATTAAAGATTTAATTTTTTTTTTTTTTTTCATATAACATTTTACAGAATTGTTCGAAGTTCTTTCAATCTAATTATTATTTTTTTTAATACTTAATTTATCTTTCAAAAAAAAAAAAATAAATGTTGGAAATAAATACAAATTAAAAATTCTTCATTTAATCTGAATAATAATTTTTTCAAATTTAGCTACAATAAAAAAAAATTAATTACTGAAGATGAATACAATTCACAAAATTTGTTCTACGTCAAAAAAACGTTCCATAATTAAAAAAATCACCGTTTGGATCTCATCTCCAAACAGAAAATAAAAAACCACTAATGCCGGCAGTTACTTTTAATCACTGAGCGCAAGGTTAATAAAAATAATCGGCTTGTTATATACCAGTTTATGATTCGTAACTTCCATACCCAGGTCGATAACACGCATTGTACCCCAAAATTATATTTTCTGCACTAATTACAACCAGCCAAAAAAATTTATCAGACACAAAAAAAAACTCCATAAAACATAAAAATAAGTTAAATTCATAAAAATAATAACCATCCAGTCATTAGAGTCTTTATTACCAGCGATTTATTAAAATAAAATGTAGGGACCCGACTAATTAATTGATTAATTAATGTGACATGTGTTTATCCGGTCTGAAATATCTGGGAATAAAACGACGAAAATAAAAATATATTTTAATCAATAAATTAAAAGCTGGTTGATCTGGCATTGAGGACGAGTTTTCTCGTAATATAAATCTTAATACTAACTACTCAATACTTGATACGTAAAGCCAGCTGATGAAGAGTGTGTGAGATTAATCCAGGGTCCACGGGGCGATGAGTACCCGCGTTTCGTTTTCTTCATCTCCACTTAGCTCGTGGGAGAGACGATTTCCTTGGAATTATGCTAATTGGCAGGCATCTTCCCCGAAAGACATAACACATATATGTTTCTGTTACATACACACATCATTTGATTGTGTCTTGTGTCGAGGACTGTGAGCAGGTAACTATATCTACTCATCTCAAAGCTTACCTTCGCCCCATAGGAATCGACACCCGACGCATGTATATACATCTATACACACATATACAGCATCAACCTGCAGAGCAGTCAAATATAGCATACAACAAATAACATATATTATAACTTAAAAAGACAAGGACCATCAGCCACACAACTGGAATCTGGAAGCTGACATTTTTATTTCTCAGACTGTCCAACGCTCGAGAAATAATAATAAGTATCAGTTAAAAGTATTTTGTAAATTGCCAACGACGTCCCACAAAATGTTAATTAAATACCGTGTGATCTGTGATTGGGTCCGGTGATGAATAACTGATAGAACAACAGAGAAAACAAAAGGAGAAAAGATAAAGAGAGTAGACGTTAATGTAGTAAGTATTATTAATGAATCTTGATCATCAACAGTACAAGCTGGTGCATCAGCCTCTGCAAGACCACCGAGCAAGCTGTTTCAATCGGTGCGATTTGTTATTTCTCATATTCTACTAGAGATTTAGATTCCCTATGTTAGATGTACGCACGCGTTGTGCCGAAGGCGCGAACAAACTCGTAAATTAAAAATGTCCAGCCATTAACAACGTGAAACGGAACTGCCGCATCAGAATAAACAATTAGTGGTTACCTACACTGACGTGTCATTCAACTGATTTAAGGCGAATCTTCGGGTGTGATCTATCGCCGCTGAGCATTATACTCGGTGACCAGTCGAGAGGAAACATATTTTTGGTTTAACGATTCAGCTGACGAGACGGATGTCGTCGCGTCGATTCGATGATTTACAGACATACATTCCGACATGTTTTCAGGGGTTTCGTTTGTGTGACTGCCAGTGGACTGGTGACCAAATGACTCGCTGATGAGCGAGTCGAAGGTATTTTTGGCATTTTGGGCTCTTAGTCCTTGAATTGTCAAAATAATCAAACTTGAATCTTTTTGATGAAGAAAGGGTTTTTTTGCACCAATTTTGTCTGACAAATTTACTCAGCTCAAAATTGCTTTTATTTTGATCTTTTCCAAAGTGTCGAAATGTTCTTACTTCAACCGAGACTTCTATTTGAGAAATTAGTCAAACAAAAATTGGCTAAATTTTGTTTAAAATTGAATAATTTTTAGGCCTGTAAAAATAATGTGATATTATTATAATTGGTCATTAAGAATACAATTATGAATCATATTTTGAGTATCAAATCAATACTTTTTTCTTTATTTATTTGGTGAAATGATTAGGATAATCAAATTTTTCTTGTCAGTTGAGATGAAAGTTGAATCTCATAAGTAATTTGGGGAAGAATCCATAATGAAATCATGATAGGCTTTACAAAGTTTCATAATAAAATTACGGTGATATTGACGTGAAATTTTGATGATACTATAGTTGTATTGCTAATTTTATGAATTTATTATTATTCAAAGATGAAATTCAACTCACACACATAAAAACAAATTTCTTGCATCAAAAAAATTTTAAGGAAAACGAAAGTTATTATGGAGCAAAAAAAAATTTTCTTGGCTCAAGAAACTTTGACTTCATTCAAGAAATTTTCAACCTTCTTTAATATTCTTTTGAGCCAAGAAAATTTACACTCCAGTCAAAATTTTTTCTTTTAGTGCATAAGTAGTTTGGATAAAAATCTACCATGGTGGTATCTGCAAAATTTCAAAATGAAATCATCATATTAATATTAGCGTGATTTCATTGTGCATTTATGTAGATACTACTGTAATTCAGATACTGCCATGATTTTATGATAGATTTTTATCTAAACTACTGTTATCTCAATTGGTTGAAAAAATTCGTTTTCTTAAATATTTCCCGAGTCAAATAGATAACAATGTATTGATATGATAATTACATAAGTCGTATATTTGTGTCCAAAGATAAAATCTATCATCATAATCATCATCATATCACATCATTTTCGCACAGGTACCTTCAAACGGACAACTATCTTCACTCTCCCAAGAATCTGGGTACAAAATGATATCATAAACGATATTTTTCTAAGGTGGTGTAGCCCTGACACCAATCACACCTCCACACACACACACTGGGTACATTAGTCCAATCCTCGTGTATAAAAACGATGTAAAAGTGTAAGCGACGAATAAAAATGATACAAATAATAAAACAACAAAAAAAGGCTGATGTGTTGTTAGTAGTTGTTGTTGTTGTTGGTGGTGGTGGGTTGGAGTTGGGCATTTTATCATACAGCTAGAGTATAACCCTTGAAGGCACGAGAAACAAAAGAGAGCCTCGGCTTTAAAGGCAGAGAAACACGCGACGTCGTGGCGATGCGACGCCAGGAGGAGGTGCTCGTCGACACGCGATCTAGCATGTTAGTGGTTCGCGGGCTCCCGATTGGCCGGGTACACCGTGGGGCGTCCGTGGGAGCACGCCTTCCATTGGCCTGCTAACAAGACAGCTTCACCAGAAACTAAATAATAAAACCGCGAG